CATGGAGGCTAGCAGTATAACACTGTGAGGTGAGGGGAGGAAAGAAGAGGAAATGGAGGCTGGGCTGGAGGTGAAGGGTTGTACCCTGGTCATCATTCCGGAGGTCCGTGGTGAAAGCGATGAGGTTGCGGCAGGACCAGGCACAGGCCAGGGGCACTGATGGACAGTGGGTGCTCTTGGGCCACTTCTCCCACTCGCAGACATAGGCCAGATCCATGTTACCTACTTGCCACAGGTCACACACTGAGGACAGTCACCTGAGAAAGAGAACACCACCTGAAGGAGGGAGTGACAGGGAGGACTGGTTCGCCTTTGCCAAGTACCTGCAGGGTACTGAATGCCATGCTGGATGCGGGCTCACCAGAAGGAATGAAAAGGACTCAATCCCTGCCCTTGGGTCTTGTATGTGTGTGTGAAGTGGGAGGGCTGCATTTATTTTATTTTATTATTTTATTTTATTTTTATTTTTTTTCATCCTCACCCAAGAATATTTTTCTATTTATCTTCAGATAGAGTGGGAGAGAGGGCAAGAGAGAAACATCGACATGAGAGGGACACATCGACTGGTTGCCTCCCGCATAACCCGGACCAGAGCTGAGGACCAACCGCAATGGAATCAAACTAGTCAAGGGCAGAGGGCTACATTTTAAACAGAGGGCGAGGGAGGCCTCACTGGGGAAAAGACTTTTGAGCATAGGTGCAAGGGAATACACAGAGGCATGCAGATGTCTGGGGAAGAATACTGCAGGTGGAGGAAACAGCCAGGGTAAAGGCACAGCAGGTGGAACCAGCCTGGGGTGTTTAAGAAGAGGCCTGGCTATTGGGGTGAGGCTGGGAAAATGACGGGGCAGGTCATGCAAGGCCCTGTGGGCTTTCACCCTGAGTGACACAGAAGTCCCAGGAGGGCTGTGACTTATTTATTTTCGTTTTCTTGTGATCCGTTTATATTTCAACAAAATCCCTCTGCTGTATGGAGAGTGCCCTGGCCCGTTTGGCTCAGCGGTAGAGCATTGGCCCAAGGACCAATGACTTGAGGGTTCGATTCTGGTCAAGAGGGCACATACTTCCTTCCGTTATGGTTTGTCCCTGGCCCTGGTCAGGGATGGGGTGAGGTGACTGTACTGATCCAGGTGAGCAGTGGAAGCTGTGAGAAAAGGATGGACCCTGGGTCAATCCTTAAGGAGGGGCACCACTGGCAGGGCTATCGTTGGCAGACTTGGGGAGACAGGATGGGGAAAGTCAGCAGGTGGTTTTGGTGTGGGGCTTACTGACTGTAAGAATAACAATTACGGTGAACCTTTTTCTGGGCTCTCTATGTGCCTGGCATCACTTGCAGGTTGTTTCCTTTCACCATTGCGAAAGCCCAGTGAGGTTGTTAGTATGATAAACGCCATTTCCTCAATCACTACCCCCACGTCCCCAATTCTTCAGGCCCTGACCCAGAACACCAAGGCCCCACCTAAAAGCCCCTTCAACACTAAAGTTCCACTCCCAAAGCCCTCCTTCCCTATCCCCTTCGATCTTTGCTTTCCAGACCCGCTCCCAATTTGCCTCTTGAACCTCCAGGCCCATTCAAAAGTCACAGGCGTCACCCCAAAGACTCCAAACAATTCCTAGGCCCGTTCCCAAAGTCCTCCAGTCCCACCCTAGCACCTTTTGCCTGCTAGACCCTCTTCCCCTAACCTAGCGCTCCAGGTGGCGCCTCCAATTCTCCCCCTGAACTCAGGACCCAACCCGGGGTCCCCCACGCAACAGCTAGGTCCCGCCCCCAAGTCGTCATAACCCTCAAGCTCTGCCCCCAATCGGCCCCAAGCACCTCCCCTGAGAGAAACAACCCCTAGGCCCCGCCTCGATTTTCTCCGGCAGAGGACCCCGTTTCCGCAACAACCCCCCAGGCCACGCCCAGGCCGCATACCCAGCACCCTTTGCTTTCCAGACCAGCCCTCTGACCCCACAGGCCCCGCCCCGAGCCTGCGAGTCTCTGCCGGCTCCGAGAAGCGCTCCTCGGGGTTGCCCAGAGGCCGGCCGACCCCTCCGGACGCGCGTAGCCCCTTGCTCACCGGGCCGGCCCGGGCGCCGCGGCCGCAGCCCGCACTCGCCCTAGCTCCTCGGCTCCAGCGCCGCCATCTTCCCAGGGACCACCGAGTCGCCACGCAGCGCGGCCGCTTCCCACAGACTTCTGGGACGGTGGTGGCCCTGGCTCCGCCCCATTTCCGGGCTTGTTTGTATGTGAAGCTTAACAGACTGCCAGCTGCTACCTGAGTTTTATGAGTTAGGATAACCAACACTTTTTCAACTCCAGTGAAAGACCCCACTTGGCTACTCTGTGTGCTGCACTAATATCATATAAAGATGGGTTGCCGCCCTGACCAGTTTGGCTCAGCATTTGGAGCGAAATGTCAAGGGCACGTACCTGGATTGCAGGTGGGCGGAGGCTACCAATGGATGTCTCTCTCACATCGTAGTTTCTCTCTCCCTCCCTTCCTCTCTTCCTCCCGCTCTATCTGAAGATAGATGCAAAAATGTCCTCGGGTGAGGATTTAAAAATAAACAAATAAAAAATTTTTAAAATCAATGGGAAAATGTCCTCCGGTGAGAATGAACAAACAAAAAGATGAGTTGCCAAACCTTTGCAATAAAGTTCCCCCTTAGTGGAAAGTATTTATATACTCTGTAAATAGCCCCAGGATCAATCCCTAGCTCGCACTGGGCACGTATACTAAAATTGGGACAATACAGGAAAGATCAGCATGGCACTTGCACAAGGATGACACAACCTTGTGAAGCGTTCAGTATTTTACTTTTCTAATATTCTATTCCTCCTAGACTCTTCCCAGTTTGGAAGGTCTTCCCCAGGAAGACCTCCTGGGATTGTAGGGTAGGGTGCACCAGGCAGAAGGCAAAGCCTGGACAAAGGCTTGGAATCCCGGCAGACTGGGACCTGAGCTGGGGAAGAGGGCCAAGAAGAACCCCACACAATCCCACTCCCTGAGACCCAATCCAGTCCTCTGGGAACCTGGGGATGGGTCCCCTTCACAGATGGGAGCCTCCGAGCTTGTTACTCAAATACCTCCACAGAAGCTATTCGGATTTCCATTATTTAGCCTCTATCTTTAAAACTATTTAAATGCATATTAAAATGAAATACAGTGCACCCAGCACTCACTAGTTTCTAACATGGTGCCCTGATAAAAGGAACTGGACTTGTTGGAGAAATACACCAGCCCAGCCTGAGCATTGTGTAATGGCAGAAAGTCAGTGCTGTGCTCAAGAAATAAAAACCCCACAACTGATAGTCCCTAAAGAGACACAGGAACCCTGGCTGGGTAGCTCAGTTGGTAAGAGCATAGTTCCAATACCCCAAGGTTGCAGGTTTGACCCCTGGCTAGGGTACATACAAGAATTAACCAATAAATGCATCAATAAGTGAAACAACAAATTGAGAGGGGAGAGAGAGACACAGGAGTCAAACCTGGAATCATTTTGCAACAAAATAAATACTGCATTTTAACCCAAAGTTAGAATTAAATACCCATGTCTCCATACTGCTATAAAATGATTGAATAAATTCTTACATGGGGGAGAAGAGACAAACCTCTTGGGCGGAATTCCCCATAATTAATGTATGTTCTCTGCCCTCAGGGAGGTGGAACTAAGAGACACTAGGGCCACTAGGAGCTGAAAGAAGTAGGAAGGGGAAGGACCTTCCCTGGAACCTCTGGAGGAAGCAAGGCCTTGGGACTCTTCTGAGTTTGGACTTCTGGGCTTCAGATCTGGGAGACAATACACCCATTATTTTCAGTCTCAGTGTGGGTTATTTTATTGCAGTGTGTGGTGTTTTGTGCCAGCTGCCCTAGGAACCTCATGGGAGTGAATTTATGGGAGGTCATGCAACTAGGAAGTGGTGGAGCTGGGGTTTGAGCTTGGGCACCCAGGAGGGGCCAGGGCAGCAGAGCCAACATCCAGATGATTCTAGCAGTCTTCCCACCACCTGCCTCACCCTCCAGGTGTAACTCAGCACTAAGTTCTTCCCCCAGGCCCACAGCCCTCAGTGACCAGGACCCCAGTGCATCCTGAGCACCTACTGCGCCTCCAGCCCTACCCCAAAAGAAAACACCACATCTGGAGACCAGAGCACCAGAAATTTATTGATTTCTCCACTTTTCCCAAAGCACAACTAGCCACACACATAGGAATAGGGGTGTCTTCCAGCCCTGTTTTTGTAGCCCAGGTCAGGGTCCAGCATGAGGACACCCCAAAGCAACAGGTCAGAGTCAGGCTGGGGAGGTGGGGACGTGAGGGAACATGGACAGGGGTAGGTGACAGTGGGAGGGTGGAGGCTTCTGGCTGGAAGTCTCATACTCCCAGTATGAAGAGGGGAGAAAAGTTGGGGGGAGGGGGTTGTAGAGCAGGCAGAGTCCCAAGAGCCACCAAAAAGCACCAGGGGAGGAAACACACATTCCAAAAAGAGGGTAAAACCAATCTTTAAGATGCAGCTCTGTCCTGGGTTGCAGGACACCAGCATGCATATGCACACACACACACATACACACGCAACACGCAACTCTCCTGGGGTAAGGGGCAGCACCCCAGAGACACCCCCCCCCAATTCTAGCCAAAAACTGGGAGGGAGGTTAAGCAGGGACTAGAACAAAGCCCCCAATTTATCAGTTGGGGTATTTGGTTTTTCTTCCCAAAAGGGAAATTTAAAAATCAACAACACATCATGCAGAATTCATTAAAAGTGATTTAAAAAACCTAGCCTCTCCTTCCTTGTTTAAGCTTCAGAGTGGGCTGAGAAAGCTGACCAAAGAAGGAACATGGAAGTGAACAGGCCAGGTCTCCCCATCCAAATACAAGTCCTAGAGCAGGGAGTCATGGGCTCGGGATAGTCTGGGTCAGCTCCAGCTGCCAGCATTTACCTGGAAGAGCTGGGATGGGATGGGGCCAGGGTGAGAGTGACACCCCAAGGGGGAGAGCATGTTTTCAAGGACAAATTCTAAAATTAACAAACATGTTTTAGTGGATGGTATAGGAAATCTTGATGGGAAAGGGGACAGGCAGGCTGGCATCAGCTGCGTTGCTCCAGGTAAGCGGACAGGAGCAGCCCTGGGGGCAGGAAGTCCAGATGCCGATTGCTGACCTTCATCTGCCTCTTACCTTCCAGGTCAGCACCTGCAAGAGGTGACAAGTGGGGCAAGAATGAAAAGAATGCAAGAGTCACCCTGAGTTTGGGTTGAGCTTCGGCCCACGAACCAGACTCATGGGTTTGATTCCCAGTCAAGGGCATGTACCTGGGTTGCAGGTTTGATCCCTGTCTCGGTCATGCAGGAGGCAACCAATCCATGTGTCTCTCTCACATCGATGTTTCTCTCTCTCTCTCTCTCACTCTCCCCCCGCCCCCCTCCTGCCCACTCTATCTGAAAATCAATGGAAAAAACAAAACAAAAACGCAGGAGTCACAGCACACTTAGGAGCCATGCTCTTGGCCTTTCCCTGAAGGTAACAGCAAGCTGGCACGTGGGATCTGGCTGACGGTGATGGGCTCACAATAACAGCTCCAGCTCCCTGAGAACCTCCATTGGCAAACCCATTTTTTTTTATCCTCACCCGAGGACATTCTTCCACGTTTTGTTCAGATAGAGTGGGAGGGAGAGAGAGAGAGAGAGAGAAACATTGACATGAAGGGACACACCGATGTGGTTGCCACCCACACAACTCAACCAGGGCCGGGGACAAACTGCAACCGAGGTACATGCCCTTAGTGGGAACCGAATCTGGGTCTCTCTGGACCGCAGGCTGACGCTCTGACCGCTGAGCCAAACCGGCCAGGGCGGCAAACCTATTTTATCCTTTCTGTTCCTTATCCCGTATTCAGAGAGTTGCACTAAGATGTACACTCATGGCCTGGAACAAGTGTCCTGCATCCTCCCAAGTCACCTGCTTCCATCTCTGCCCTAGTGGTGACTCTGAAGCTCAGTCCCACCTGCAGGCTTTTGCCCAGCTGTTTCCTCTCCCCTGCTCCTTATCTTGCCAGGGTCCCTCCTCTGTGTTCAGCAACAGCTGGACTCCAGCAGAGAAGCACCCCCCAGCCTAGCCCCCTCCATTCTGAATCTTTGGTAACAAAAGCAAGCATGAGGATAAACCATCTTGGGGTTACCATGGGAACTATCTCCTCACCAACTCTGGACAGGAAACAGGGAGATAGGCAGAATGGGGTTCCCAGAGCCAGCAACGGCCTACAAGCACCCTCTTTGGGGACCTGTGCCCCAAAACTACCCCTGCTTTGTAAGTGGGGACACAGGCCCCTGGGAAGGGGTATTTGTCAGAAACCATGTGTGGCACAGTGGAGGGGAGTATGGCTAGATGAGGACCCTGCAGACACTGGGGTCACCTCATCTTATCTTGGTGCCTCTTGAGACTCAGCTTCATCACCCCCACATAGGCCCTTCTCTCCCCGTGGCCCTGAAGATGTGACTGGAGGGGGGTCTGTGTCCACAGCATCACCCTGTGAGGGGCCAGGACCACAGGAACCTATGATGAACTAATGCAGCATCCTACTACCACTGCTTTGCTCAAGCTGTCCTCCCTCCCCCAGAAGCCTCCTACTGAGGAAACAGAGTCCACGTAGCCTTGGTTTCCTTGGGCAGAATTGGCTCACTGGGAGGGTCCTGGGGCTGCCAGGCACTTACTGGCTGATATGAGGTCCATGTACTGGCAGACAGCATGGAGTAGGAGCCTCTCGAAGCTGTGGAGGAATGGGTGGTGAGTGGCCATGGACTGGAACCAGCCACCCAGGGAGCTTGCTGTACCCACCCCCACCAGTCACCTGTTATCCAGCATGGCAGTGTACACGGCCTGGGGGGACACGGAGAAGAACCTAAGCAGCCGCTCCTCCCAGGTCTCTAGCGTTTCCTGTAGGAGAGATAGGCCCAGGGGTTAGGCCAATTTTGAGATCTTGGCCAGGCTGTCCAGGCACCCCTATGCTCAGGACAGCCTCCAGAGCTCAAAGCCTTGGGTTCAAATGTGGCCTCTGGCTCCTTAACATGATGAAGCTATTTAACAGGTTCCAAGAATTCCAGGCACTTAGAAATCTTCGTATCTTTGAATGCCTGCACCTTCTGCCTGGTGAACATCCTGCAGTGCCCATCTTCACTGCCCCTGACCCTCCCACCCTTGACCAGCCCTGGGTCCAGCATTCTGATCACACTGGTGTGTATCCTGCCCTGTCTCCATTACAGCACACACACTGGGTAACTGGTATCCCCACATACTGCCCCCAATTGAAAAATTGAGACAGGCAGGTGGGGAGAGACAGGCCCAGCCTGGTAGTCACCATGGGGATGCGGCTCCGCTTGAGAACAGCTCGCAGACGCCGGCTGATGCGTTGGAAGCACTCTCGGGGGGTATAGGCTGGGTCCTCTGCAAGATTTCAAGGTTTTGGACAGCAGCTGAAGCAAACTGCCTACCTAGCCCCGCCAGGCTCCTCCCCACCTGTCCCCAGTCCCACCCCATATAATAGGCCAGGCCCCTATCTACATGTTTGGCCCCCTCCTCCACCATGCAGGCCATACCTCTCCTCCTGTCCTCGCCCCGGCTAGGCCCCCTCCTCCGCGCCTTGCTCCTGCCCTCATCCTCCAGGTATTGGAGGACCCGCTCCTGCTCCTCCCCAGAGCGGTTCATGAAGTCATTCCAGACCTGGAACAGAGGCAGGCAGGCCCTGGGCTAATGATGGTGTGTCTCTGGGCCTCACTTTCCCCATCTGGCCAATGCACACAGGGGGCCACAAAGTGCATGGAAATACTCCTTGTGGACACCTTTGCCCACCAGACCTTCCAGGAGTTCATGGGGCACTTGAGGACCTGTTTGTCAGGGGAGGGGTATCAATATGGATGAGGAGATGAATCATGGGTGCTAGGAGGTTCTGGGATGAGGTGGGGGTTCTGGCCTGGTCTGGGGACTCTGAGGGAGATGGAAGGAACATTCATCAAGGGACCAGAGGTGGGTGGGTACCCCTGGTGAAGACGCTAGTGCAGGCAGTGCCTGGTGGTAGGAGCCAGAACAGAAACAGAGGCCAGTGTGGCCAGAGCAGAGGAGTAAGCAAGGGGGTAGGGAGGCCCACCTCTACATAGGTCTCATTGTTGCAGGCCTCCGCGAATATGCCAGGTGCCGCAGGAGGTGCCAGGTCCCCATCCTCTGGACCAAGTGTGCCCCCATCTGTCTCCAGCAGGGTCAGGAGGTACTGGGCTAGATGGAAACAAGTGGTCTCTGGGCTGAGGTGTGGCATTTGGGGCTCCCCAGGCTCCATGGAGACCAATGAACCATCTTTCCTCCCCCTCTCTATATTTACAGCTTTTACTCTCTGGCTTGCATCAGCCTCCCCACCTCCATACTCCAACTGTCTTTCCCAGAAGGCACAGAAACCATCTAGCCTCCAAAACTCCTACCTCTCCCTGCCTTGTTGAACTCCTATACACCCTTTCAAACCCCAGTGCCAATGCCTAAGGCACCCTCTGGCCCAGCCCCAGCATTGCCCAGCTCAGGGCCAGGCTCATGGTGAGGGCAACAGATAATTCCAACATGCACATAATTCTCATCTGAGGCCTAGGAATCCCCAGGAGGTGCCCCTGACTCCTGCTCACTGTTCTCCAGGCGCTGGAGGCTCTTCCGCCCTTTGGCTTTGGGCACAAGGTCTGAGTTCCGCACAGCCTGGTTGATGAAGTGCTGCTTCCGCTTGGAGGCCGAGAACCTCTTCACTTGGGAGCCAGCTAGAGCAGGTAGGCATCCTGAAAGGTGCCTGTGGGCCAGGGTTGGGGTGGGGAGCAATCCTCAGGGCCAAGACAGGCCACAACCCCCAGGCAGAACCCTACCACTGCCATTCTACCATAGTCATTGTCTGCTTGGTTTCCCTCAACAAAAGAGAACTCACCCCCTACCATGTGTGTAGCCCTGGACCCTTAACATTTCATCTTGTTTATCATCACATCACCCGAAATGCAGGTATAATTGTGATGACAGATCAGTAAACTGAGGCTCAGAGAAGAGAAAACACTTGCCTGAATTCACAAATTTGGTGGGTGGCTGAGAAAAGCTGCTTCTCACACACACCCACACACACACACACACCCACACACACACATACACACACCAGACTTTCAGATTTTAGCTGTAAACTGATAAGGCCCAGAGTGTATGGGATTTGAACACCACCATCCTCTGGGAGTTTCTCAAAGACTTGATTCACCTGAGCCCAGCTCTGCCTAGTGCCCCTGGGTCCCCCCTCCTCCAATATGCCCAGGGACCAGGACATGGGAGGTGGCTGGAGAGCCGCTCCTTCCAACTAATCTGTCCTCCTCAGAACAAATGGCATTAACTATGGAGATGGATTAGCAGGGCCAACCAAGCCTCCTGCTGGGGACTAGAAGACCAGGTGCAGGGGAGCAGCAGGGGGCTCTTGGATGGAAACTTCCTGGCAAGAAGAAGTTGATGAACCTTTCTGGTCAGTCCCTGATAACTCCAAAACATAGGATGGTCCCCACTGGGCTCAGAAACCCTTATCCTGTGGGGCAATGGATTCTGGGCCTTGGAGGGTCTGGGGTGCCAGGATCCCCCTCCCCATATCCTGACTACCTTCCCCTCATTCACTCTACTCCAGTCATCTCCTGCTGCTCCTTCAATAAGTCAGGCACAGTTCCTTCTGGGCCTTTGCACTGGCTGTGCCCTCTGCCTGGTGCCCAGTCCCCCAGACTCCAAATGGCTCACTGGCTCAGTTGAAACCTCCTCAGTGAGACTGCAACCTCTTCTGTTTAACACCTTATTGCTTTGGCTCTCTTATCACCATACATACTATTCCACTGATGACTCCTCACTTCTCCTAATAGATCATAACCTCCATTGGGGTACTCACAGCCATGGCTGGCACACAGTAGGTGCTCAACAACTGCTGGGTCAGATGTCCCGGAAAATCCCTATGGGTGCCTATGAGTCTGGGAGAGGACACTCAAAGCCAAGAGAAGCTGGGACAGGCACCTTCCCCTAGCAACCCAGCCCCCATCTGTTTGGTTTCCTCCTGTTATGGGGAGCTCCCCCTCTGAGTCACACCAATGATCCTAGCAACATCCCTGGGTTGAGCATTCACATATCAAGTCAGCACAGGATTCAACCTGAGAGTTGCCTCCCGGAGGCTCAAGCACCCCCACCCCAAACTCCAGATTCACCCATGGCCTCCCTGGAGCTCCAATGCCCATGTCTCCACACCAGAAGCTGGACAGAGTCCAGGATGGCAGCCTGGTTGGGCTGATAACAGAAGCCACATCCGGGGGGAGCTGTCAGAAACATCAGAGCAGTGCAGGACTCAATGAAAGAGAAATGGGGCTTCCCAGCACCTCCAGAGGAGGAGCAGAGCTAAGATTTAAACCTGAGTCTGAACAGGACCCCCACACACAACAGAAGGAAGCCTCCTGCTTCATCGTGGGTCCACAGAGATCTGTGGTGGGTTCAGACTAAAGTCTACCTAGCTAAGACCCAACTGGTCCCTTCCCTGCTCTACCACCATCCATGGCTCCCCAGCACCCTCAGGGCAAGGCCCAGCTCTTCCTTGACCTGGTGTTAGAGGCCCTGTCTGTCTTGTACCCAGACCACATGGTTTATGCCTGATCCCACAGGCATTCAGGGGGCTTACTACCCTCTCATGGGCCTCAAGTGCTGAGCTGAGAACTGTAAATTGAGTCCACCATCAATTCAAACTTACTGACTTCAACCAGATTCCAGAGGTGATAAGAAATATGTGCCCTCAGGGAGTCTGGATCCCCCTCCCCCCCCCCACCTCAAGATACAAAGAGGATAGGGCATAAAGGGGCAGGGCACAATTACCCAGCAAGTCAGATTTGTAATAAAGGCTGGTGGAGGGGTTTTGGATATCTGTATAAAGTTTATATATAATATCTCTACATGGCAAAACATCAATGCCGGACCCCATCTCTCCCCTGGGGGCTTCCTCTGCTCCAGCCATATGGGTCCCTTCATGTGCTTCAAACTAGCCAGAAACAATCCACCTCAGGATCATGGTGTGTGCTGAGCCCTCTGCCTGAAGCACCCTTTCTCAGCTTTCTGACCTCTGCTCAAATGTCACCTCCCCAAAAACTGCCTCACCCCTCACTAGCCCAATCAGCCCTGTTTGCCTGCTTCACCAGTTGGCATTAAAAAATCAGCTGGTCCATAGACTTGTTTACTCCTTAATCCTCACCTTTCTTGCTAGACCTGTGCAAAAAAGGACACAGGACAAGGCTATCTTGGTCTCTGCTGTGTCCCCAACACTAGGCCCACATCAGTGCTCATTATCAATTGCTGTTCATCTGCTCCCTGTGCCACTCAAAGAGACCACTCTACAGATGGAGAAACTGAGGGCCCAGATAGGGCACCTGAGGCTTCCTGGATGGACAGTTGTCAGGAAATGTGTTCACAGTGGACAGGCCCAATAGTGAATAGCTGCTAAGTCAGGTTGGGTTGGGGGGACCAGACCCCATTGCCCTCAGTTCTGCTCCCTGAAATAGAGAACTTTGATACTGCTGCCCTGGGCAAAAATCACTTTCTCTGACCTGTGCCCTCCCCCAGGAACCCGCAAGAGAGGAACCTACTTCCCTAGCAGGAAACCAAAAGGGCTCAGGGCAGGTGACTCAGACTGGGTCCACTCCCCCCCCCCCCCCCCGCAGTGGCCACACCCCAAACAGGGAGGGATCAGAGGAACACATCTGGCAGGTAAATACCCACTTTTCGTGGTTAAGGCCCATTAAAAAAGATATTGCCTCTCTTTCCGGTAAATACCCATATCTGTAGAGACTGGTAGGGCCTCAGGTAAAATGCCCAGAGGAGATAATAACATAAAATAATAAGTATAGTAATAACAATAAAAGTAATGAAATGATAAAATTCTTTACAAATAATAAAACTAAAATAGTAAGATGTTTAAGATCGTTATGGGTGCCCCTGCACTGGACACCTGGGGTCACTGACCCCCAGTCTCTCTGAGAAGAGCTCACTGTTATCTCATTTACAAGTGGGAAAAATGAGGCACGGAAGGAGGGTTCAAAGGAAATCTGCGAGCCACGAGATCCACACTCATATTAGTGGGGGAGGTCTACACCCATATAGGTTTGCTCCATTAGCTTCCAGTCTCCCTCCCAGGACAGTCAGGCTCTGGTTGCCCGGGTTTTAAGCCCCCGCACCCCGTTTAATCTGGGTTTGCAGCCGGAAATAAACCATAGCCCTGTGCACCCAGAGAGGAGGCTGATAATCGAGGTGGGGATCCAGCCCTGCGTGTGGGGTGTGTAGCCAGCCTGGGGACGGGAACACCGCGTGTGGATAAAAGCCCGGGGACACCGCACAGTGGCCGCCTCACCGGAGCGGTAACAGGCGCACTGGACCCCCAGACGGTTCAGTACCCGGGGCTCCAGGGCCCCGGAGGTCCTTAAACTCACAACCGGGGTGTGCTTCTCCATCCCGGCAAATACCCGGGAGCGTCGGGAATGGAATTTCCCCAGGTAATCAGGGGGTAACAATCAGCACCCCCACTCCCACCGGCGTCTAGAGGGTGTCACCGAGGGAAAGGGGCGGGGCGGGCTTGCGAGGACACGTAGGGGAGGGAGCCCCAGAGCCCCGGGGGTCGCGCCCCGCCCCCCCACCGCGCTCACAGCGTCCGCCGCCCGCCGGGAACGACCCCCGCCGTCGCCGCCGCCTCCTCTGAGCCGCCCTCGGGGTTCTCCAGCGCGACCATGGCGCGGCCGCCGCCGCCGCCGCCGCCGCCCGGCAAGGCCTTGTCGGGAGCGGGCAGGAAGTGACGGGCGCCCGGAGGCGGGCCGGGGCGGGTCCCGGAGGCTGGCCGTGCGGGGCGGGGACCGCCGCCAGGAGGGCGGCCAGACCCGGGGCTGCGGCCGGAGCGGGCACCCACCCCCAGGGCACCGGCGGGGAAACTGAGAAAAGGAGCTGGGGACGGGGGTTCGGGGCTGTGGGCATGACGGAGCACCCAGCCCCGGGGAGTGGGAAACTGAGGCCTGGGTAACGGGGAGGGAAGGGGACGCCCTTTGCCGAGGGAGTGAAGGATGAAATGACCCATACCCACCTCCCAAGCACCCATGGGGCCTTTTCTTCCACCAGCCCAGTCGTTCATTAAAGTGTAGCCCCTGGAGCACCAGCTGGGTGCCTCAGTTTACTCATCTCTAAAATTAGGACGTCGGCCCCGCCTGCCTGGCTCAGTGGTGGAGCGTGGACCCGTGCATCAAGAGGTGGCCGGTTCCACTCCCGGTCAGGACACATGTCGAGGTGGTGGGCTGGATCCCCAGTGCTCCCCAGTGGGGGGCATGCAGGAGGCGTCCAGTAGATGTTCTCTCTCATCTTGTTTCTATCTCTCTCTCCCTATCACTTCCTCTTTCTCCCTAAAAAAAAAAATCAATAAAAGAAAAAATTAAATTAAATTAAGAGGTCAGGCCCTGGCCAGTGTGGCTCAGTTGGTTGGAGTGTCGCCCAGTACAAGAAAAGTTGGCCGGTTAGGTTAGGGCACATACCCAGGTTTCAGGTTCAATCCGAGGTCCCGCTAACGCAAGAATAGATGTTTCTCTCTCTCCCTTCTTTCTAAAAAATTCAATAAAGCCCTGGACGGTTTGGCTCCATGCTTAGAGCGTCAGCCCGCAGACCAATGACTTGCTGGTTCCATTCTGGTCAAGGGCACATGCCTCGGTTGCCGTTCCTCCCCGGCCCTGGTCACGGTTGTTCGTGAGGCAACCAGTCAATGTGTCCCTCTCACGTCGATGTTTCTCTCTGTCTCCCTCTCTCCCACTCTATCAAGATAAATAGAAAAATATCCTCAGGTGGGAGATATATATATATATATATATATATATATATATATATCTCTCCTGGAATGAGGACTACAAACCAAACAAAAATTAGGATGTCAGCATCCACCCCTTTTGCCTTTTAGAGTTCATTCGTTTAACAGGTGCCTCCTATTGCATGGAGCCACTTCTGGGCTCTGTGGACCCAGCAGTGATCGAGACAGACCCCTCACTCACCCAGCCCAGTGGGGAAGAGGAGCCTCTGGGCAGGGGACTGGCAAGCTGCAAACACAGGAATTGTGTGCCAGGCAGAGGGAACAGACAGTCAATGCATTCAGAGTGGCCAGAGCAGGGAAAAGACTGGGAACCAGGGAGAACAGAGGTGGAGGGGAAGGGGCAGACCCCTGAGCCTGATGGCCCTGTGATGGTAGATCTGGTTTTGGTCCCAAGGGCAATGGGGAGCCATGAGAGGGCTTAGAGCACAGGATTAAACCTGCTCTAGAATCTAGAAACTACCCTTCAGTCTACAAGAAAAGTGAGGAACCTACACCACAGGGATGCAACAGATCCAGCCGGGTGCAAACTATACAGAACAAATAACCCAATTATCTTAACAAATAAAGAGCAAGAGGGAAGATTTCAGGATGGGGGTGGGTGGAGGTAGAAGAGGGCATAGAGAGGATAAATAGTGATGGGGAAAAATTAAATTAAATTAAAATTTTAAAAAAGAGCAAGGAGGGGAAGAAAAGAGAGGAGGAACAATTAAAAGACCCCACAAAGCCCTGGCTGGTTTGGCTCAGCAGTTAAAACATTGGCCTGTGGACCAAAGAGTCGAGGGTTCGATTCCGGTCAAGGGCACGTACCTCAGTTGTGGTTTGGTCCCCAGCCCTGGTCCCTGGTCGGGCTCGTGCAGGAGGCGAACAATCGATATGTCTCTCTCACATTGGCGTTTTTTCCTCTCTCTCTCCCTTCCACACTATCCGAAAATAAATGGAAAAATATCCTCAGATGAGGATTAAAGGAAAAAAAATAGACCCCAAAGAGTTCATACTGTGTGACTTCATGTAGATAAATGTGCAAAGATGAAAAAAATTAATAGTGATACACATCAGGAGAGAAGGGAGAAGTGAGGAGGGGGCCCTTGGGGCCACTATTGTTTGCTCCCCTGCTCTGGCCCATGATGAGTAGCTGCTCAATAAATGTGTCAATTCTAGAGTATGCAGCCTGAACCTTGGCCTAACCGGGGCCTCACTCCCAGGGAACCTGGACTGCACCTTCTGCAAACCTCCCAGACCCTGGGCCTGTCAGTGAGCTGTTGCTCCCCAAAGCCCCCACCTTAAAGATCCAGCCACTTGCTGAGTGCTCCTGCTCCTTCAGGCCTGTTCAACTCAGCAGCTTCCCCCAAACAGTTCTCTATCCTTACTTAACCTGTCCCTCATTACTACCCCACATGGATTTTTCTTCCCTTTCTAATTTTTATTCTGATTTGTCAAGAATAATTTTGAAGGTATAAAAAGGGTGACTAGCCCGGCCAGTGTGGCTCAGTGGTTGAGTGTCAACCCATGCACCAAGAGGTCACTGGTCGATTCCTGGTCAGGGCACATGCCCAGGTTTTGAGCCCAATCCCCAGTGGGGGCCTGCAGGAGGCGGCCAATTGATGTTCTTTCTCATCGATGCTTCTATCTCTCTCTCTCCCTCTCCCTTCCTCTCTCTCTAAAAGCAATAACGAAAATAAAAGGTTGAATAAGAAAATGTTCCCCTCTCCTTGGCTCTTTGCACTTCCCCCTGGAGATAGTTGATGTGCTTTGATGCCTGTGCATATCTATTAATCCCCCCCCCCATTTTAATCTTTTTATACAAATGGCAGCATCTTTTTCTTTGCTGCATAGTACTCCACAATGACACCCATCCTGGTACATGGGCTAGTCTCTGGGGTCCATTTCTAGATGTTGGTTTTGAGGATCAGTAGTGTCCTTTGTAAACTGCCCACCACCTGGAACCCACCAGTGGCCCAGGTGTCCAAATGCCTAGTACAGGTGTCTGCCAAAGGCTGCCCTTGAGCTGGGAGGTGGACACTCCCAAGGGGTCTGATTTGCAGCAACCCAAGTCCAGGGAAACGGAGTTCTTTAAAGAAGAGGCATCTTTGCTCTGGCCGGTTTGGCTCAGAGGTTAGAGCGTTGGCCTGCAGTCCAGAGAGACCTGGGTTCGGTTCCTGCTGAGGGCATGTACCTCGGTTGCAGTTTGTCCCTGGCCCTGGTTGAGTCCTCATGCAGGAGGCAGCCACTCGATGTGTCCGTTTCGCGCTGATGTTTTTCTCTTCCTCTCTCTCCCTCCCACTCTATCTGAACAAAAATGGAAAAATGTCCTTGGGTAAAGATGAAAAAAAAAAAAGAAGAAGAGACATCTTCTAACTCCCAGACTTTGGGCACTGAGTCTCTATTCCTTGGTCAAGGTAGGTCTTTCCAGGGTGCACAGCAGCTTTCACATAGCCTACCCCATCGCCACTCCACCCCAACACCTACTTCAGTCCATCTTCTCCAGTGCTCTCACCCTGACCGTTCAGGGGGAGGAGAGAATGGGGAGAAGGTTGCTGTGTGAGTAGATGGAGAGCCACAGGCAGGGGAGCACTTCAGGAGAGGCAGGAAGGCGGGGACAAGGGGGGAACCGGGTATAAATCCCAGCCGGCTTAGGCACCAGCAGAGGCAGCAGAGGTGCAGCTGAGGCCAGTGGAGCCGCCCTCCAAACTCGGTGGCTTCCAGCTGAGACCCTTCCTGGGCTCCGTGGGTGCATCTCTCCTGTAGGCAGCTCAGAAAAGGGTCCCTGCCGCAATCCCAGGGTGGGATCCCAGAGAGCGATCGATAGAAAGAGGGCGGCAAAGCCATGAGCATCTTGGCCAAGTCTGGACCCAACGCGTCCTGGTGGGCTCTGGACAATGCATCGGGCTGCCAGGTCTGTGGCGCCAACGCCTCGGACAGCCTGGCCCCCACGATGTGGCCTGTGGACACCTGGCTTGTGCCACTCTTCTTCGGTGTGCTAATGCTGCTCGGCCTGACAGGGAACTCGCTTGTCATTTTTGTCATCTGCCGCCACAAGCAGATGCGCACGGTGACCAACTTCTACATAGGTGAGCACCAAGGCGCTGCGCGGTGCGGGTTTGCCATTCCCGGGGTTGCCACCAGGGCAGAGTGGCCGCGCTGCACCCTAGCAGTGCCACAGGTCCCTCCCAGAGAGGAGTCTCTTCCCTGCAGGTCCTGTCCTTTCCCTATTGTCTTGGTACCTTAGGCTAGAGGTCCCAAACTCAGGCATTGGAGGGTTCATGCCGGCGCAGCAGTTAAAAGGGAGGTTGAAGAGTGTGGCTTGGAGAGCTTGCCTCTGCCCCTCGAGGAAGATTCTGATGGAAATGTGGTTCTCTGACACAGTGTCCGATGAATAAAAGCAGTGAATGGAGGAACTGCTTGGTCTTTGGGCTCCCAGTTTACAATCTCTGCTACAGTGGCTCAGTTTTCACACTTGTGTGATGGGGTGGCCTATCACACAGGTGAGTGCTCAGTTAGTGTTCTCCATTCTATAGTGGCTGTTGGGCAAGCACCACTGTCTCCAATTTGCAGATGAGGAAACTGAGGCTCTGAGGGACAGGGATTTGCTCAGACTCTCCCAGTTGGGAAAAGGGTGAGCAGGGTCCCTTGAAGCTTGAATAGCTGTGAAGCCAGTGTAGAGGGATGTTTGAAGTGTAAAAGAGGAAGACTGGAGGATGTAGGGAGCCTTCTGGAGCTGTCCTGCTGGTCACTAAGCCAAAGGTAAGTGCTAGGGAGCTGGACCAGAAGTGCTGGGTGGCTGCACCCCACATCCAGAGCCGGCACATCTCCTGCTTGCAGCCAACCTGGCAGCCACAGACATGACCTTCCTGCTGTGCTGTGTGCCCTTCACTGCCCTACTCTACCCACTGCCTGCCTGGGTGCTTGGTGACTTCATGTGCAAGTTTGTTAACTACATTCAGCAGGTGGGCTGTGGGCTGGGGGAGAGGCGCTGGGGAGCCAGGGAGCTGGGTCTAGGTGTGGGCAGGTGGGTGCCCTGGAGGAGCATGGGGCCCAGTGGGAAGTGGGTTGGGGCATGGGGGTTGACAGAATCTGGTGGATACTCTGGGAGAAGGTATAGCCTGGACTGAGTGGTGGGGGTGGGGGTGGGGAGGTAGAGGAACCTGGCAATGGGGAGGCATACAGGTAGGCACTGGGTATTGGGAGATGAGCACAGGGAGGGTGACCTGGGTTCCTGCCCCACCTGTCCTTAGGATGGCTTTGCCTTAGTCTCTGGGTCTCAGCAGACCCCCAATGGACTCCTCAAAGCCCCACTATTCTGGGGTCCTTTCTGGTATCACCCCTCTCCTGACCCTTCCATTTGTGGCCCCTGAAGACCCTCCCAGAACACATCCTGTATGTGTCTGAGTGGTTGGCATTTATGGGGGGGGGCGCAGTGTGGCGCACACACGAAGACCCCAGACTGGGCGGGGGGGGGGGCACACGCCCAGCTCCTCGCCCTCCCAGGTCTCCGTGCAAGCCACGTGCGCCACTCTGACTGCCATGAGTGTGGACCGCTGGTACGTGACGGTGTTCCCGCTGCGTGCCCTGCACCGCCGCACGCCCCGCCTGGCGCTATCCGTCAGCGTGGGCATCTGGGTGGGTGAGTGCAGCGCGGGGGCACACGGGGTGGGAGGAAAGGTCCTCGTGCCCTGGGCGCCTTCCTTCTCACCACCGCTCTTTGGGCATGGGTCGTGCATCTGGGAAATGCGCATAATAGCACTCCCTACGAAAAACCACTGAGGGTGCACTCTGGGGAGGCTCCCGGGAGACCAGGGCCCTGGCACCCTTGTGCCCCTCGTCCGGGGCAAGGTCTTCAGTTGCGCCTGTGGTTCTGCGCAGGTTCTGCAGCCGTGTCGGCTCCGGTGCTCACCTTGCACCGCCTCTCGCCTGGGCCGCGCACCTACTGTAGCGAGGCCTTTCCTAGCCGCGCCCTCGAGCGCGCCTTTGCGCTCTACAACCTTCTGGCACTCTACCTGCTGCCGCTGGTCGCCACCTGTGCCTGCTACGGGGCCATGCTTCGCCACCTGGGCCGGGCCGCCGTCAGTCCGGCGCCCGCCGACAGCACCCGGCAGGTGCGCCACGGGGGTGGGGGGGCAGGCTGCGATGGGCACAGTGTGAGGGGAGGCGCATCTGGAGGAATCTGAGTGGGTGACCCAGTGGGGTTATTTGAGAAGCCAAGGAGGGGAGCTCTGAGGGAGTGTCCTATAGCCTCTCCTCCTCCCATCTCCCTGCACTCCCAGGGACAGATGCTGACGGAGCGAGCGCAAGCTGTGCGGGCCAAGGTGTCAAGGCTGGTGGCGGCCGTGGTTCTGCTCTTCGCTACCTGCTGGGGCCCCATCCAGCTCTTCCTGGTGCTGCAGGCGCTGGGCCCGGCAGGCTCATGGCACCCGCGCAGTTATGCAGCTTACGCGCTCAAGATCTGGGCGCACTGCATGTCCTACAGCAACTCGGCACTGAACCCGCTGCTCTACGCGTTCCTGGGCTCGCACTTCCGTCGGGCCTTGCGGCGCGTCTGCCCCTGCGCTCCCACGCGCCCCACGCGCCCCCAGCGGTCAGGACCCTCGGATCCCACCGCCCCACACGCGGAGCTGCACCGCCTGGCCTCCCATCCTGATCCCAGAACGTCGAAGCCGGGGAACAGCGGGACGAGATGCACAGGCTGCGCGTACTGAGGGAACATGCTGTCCCTCTCTGATCCTACTCTGGTGGAATTGAGGTGGGCCCCTGGGGAACAGGTGTTGCTTGAACAGCAGCTGCCATTATTCTGTTACTTTATCTTTATTTTTGTCCAAGATAATCTTAGTGAAAATGTTTTGTCCTCTTGTAACTTTGGTACAAATTGCCTGTAGTGTTTATACTTCTTGCTATTGTGGTGATTATTTCTGCATTTCCTGACATTGAGATGCTTTGATGCTGGCATCATCTGGGACTTTCCAGGAAGCTTCAATAGACCTTTTGACACACTACTTCCTGGTCGACTGTAAGATTCACCCCATTGTCAGCGATATAAAATGCGAACACGCCCTGGCCAGGTAGCTCAGTTGGTTAGAGCAGTGGGCCTGATACGCCCAGGTTTTGGGTTTGATCTCCAGCCAGGGTACATACAAGAATCAACCAATGGCACTGGCTGGTTTGGCTCAGCGGTTGGAGCGTGGGCCTAGGGACCAGAGAGTCCTGGGTACGGTTCCCACTAGGGGCAGTACCAAAAAAAAAAAAAAAAAAAAGAATCAACCAGTGAATGCATAAATAAGTGGAACAACAAATCGATGTTTCTCTCTCTCTTTAAAATCAACCAGTAAATAAAAAAATTAAACATATGAACACATTGTGTATCTTTTTTTTTTTTTATCCTCACGGGAAGACATTTTTCCATTTTTTGTTCAGGTAGAGTGGGAAGGAGAGAGAGGAAAAGAGAGAAAGAGAAAGAAAGAAACATCGACGTGAAAGGGACACATCGAGTGGCTGCCACCCGTACGACCAACCAGGGCTGGGGACAAACTGCAACCAAGGTATGCGCCCTTAGCGGGAACGAACCAGGGTCTCTCGGGACCGCAGGCTGATGCTCTAACCGCTGAGCCAAACCTTCAAGGGCGAACACATTGTGTATCTTAAAGTTGGCAGAACAGGCCACCTGGTGAGTGTCCGGAGTCCTGGCTAGGAAAACCTCTATGTCACTGAGTAAATAACCTGCGCACCCCCCCCCCCCCCAACTGCTGTACAAGACGCAGGACTGATCCCTCTGTAACAAACTAGCCCAAACAGGAAGTCTTAGAACAGCAGCGGTTGATGATCTCTTGCTATTCTGTGGGGTGATGGGACTCAGCCTGGCCGTGTTGTGACCATATGGGGTTGGCGGGACCAGGAAGTCGGGAGAAGGCTTCCCTCTAGTGGCCACTGGCTAAGCGCTCCTTCGAGGGCCATTGGGCTTTCTCCCTGTAGGGCAGTGGGGAAAATCAGACATTCCTTGGCAAAAACTTCCAAGGAGAGGCAGAAACTACGTGCTTCCTGAAGCCTGTGCTCAGAAGTCCCAGACGTCATTTTTCCACACTGAGCTGTCAGAGTCCCACCCAGATTCCACAGTGGGGGAGAAGGAGGAACCCCCACCTCCTGCTTGCTGAGGTGGGGGTATGTGCAGTCTCCCCAACATCCCTGCAAGCTGAAGGCTTCATTGCCCTGAAGGACAACTGCCCATATCTTGAAGGGCCCCAGTCCTCCCAAATTATTCGGGGACATATGGCTCTCCAAACCACCCAATTTGTGGAGATATTAATATGAGACCAAGAGGCTAGAATATTATGCTGTTCTGACTTTGGACTGAAGCTTGTTTGTTCTGGTCTTCAAGACCTGGCCTCTAGACTGGGCTAGATGTGACCGTGAAATTTTCTTTGCTCATTGGCCCTGCCCACCTCCCTCTCCTCCCCCCACTTCCTCAAAATTACTATCTCCCTGTGGCCTCCTGAACTGTTGCCATTCTTCTTTGGTCTGGACCTTTACACATGCAGTTCTCTCTGTTCTGCCAGGTGTACCCTCACGCACCCATCAAGTTTCAGGTTAGCCTCCTCCTCCTCCAAGAAGTCCTCCCAGATTCCTCCAAGCTGGGTCAGGCACCCCATATGGCTTTCTATCACAGCTCTAACATCCTTGTGCTGTACCTTCTGGTCCATGTCTTACTTGATCCCCCAGGTGTCTCCAGGGCCCCACTGCACAGGAAGGCTGAATAAATATTTGTGGAATGAATAATCAGGTGTGCTGTGGTGATTAAAAGAGGATGTGTGCCCTGGCCGGTTTGGCTCAACGGTTGGAGCATCAGCCTGCAGACCAGAGAGTTCCGGGTTTGGTTCCCGCTAGGGCACGTACCAAAAAAAAAAAAAGGACGTGTGCACATAGCAAATGGCAGGATTTCTCTGTGAAAAGGAATTTTTTTTTTTATCCTCAACCAAGGACATTTTTCCATTTTTTGTTCAGATAGAGTGGGGAGGGAGAGAGAGAGAAAGAAACATCGATGTGAAAGGGACACATCGAGTGGTTGCCACTCGCACGAACCAACCAGGGCCGGGGACAAACTGCAACCAAGGTACATGCCCTTAGTGGGAACCGAACCCCGGTCTCTCTGGACCGCAGGCCAACGCTCTAACCGCTAAGCCAAACCGGCCAGGGCTCTGTGAAAAGGAATTTAAAAATAATTTAAGAGACCAGGCCAGTGTGGCTGAGTGTTTGAGCATCAACCCATGCATTTAAGAGTGTCACATGCCCAGGTTGTGGGCCAAATCCCCAGTGGGGGGCGTGAAAGAGGCGGCCAATCCATGTTCTCTCTCATCCATGTTTCTATCTCTCTCTCCCTCTCCCTTCCTCTCTAAAATCAATAAAGAAATAACCCAGCCGGTGTGGCTCAGTGGTTGAGTGTCAACCCACGCACCAAGAGGTCACCAGTTCAATTCCCGGTCAGGGTACATGCCCAGGTTGTGGGCCCGATCCCCATTGGGGGGCATGCAGGAGGTGGCCAGTAGATGTTCTCTCTCATCGATGTTTCTATCTCTCTCTCCCTCTCCCTTCCTCTCTCTCTAAAAATCAACAAAAGAAAAAAAAAAGGCAAGGGTATTTACCCTATAAAAAAATAATAATAAAAAATAAAAAAATAAAATCAATAAAGAAATAAATGAAAATAAAAAATAATTTAAGAAGGATGGACTCTTGGGCATCTATTTCAAAGAAATGAAAACTTCTGTTCATGCAAAAACCTGAACAGATGTGTGCATAGCTGTTGTATTTGCAAAACCCCAAACTGGAACCAACCAGATGTTCTTCAACAGGTAATGAGGAAAAAGACCAGTGGGCCAGCCACACCACAAGCTATGACTCAGAAGGAAAAAGTTATGGACACACTATGGATACAGGCAACATCTCGGATGGACCTCCGGGAATGACACTGAGTGGGAAGGGTCATCCCCAGAGGTTCATAAGTGGTTCCAGCTATTAACATCCTCAAGGTGGCAAAATTATGAAAATGGAAAACAGATTTGTGGTTGTCAGGGTGAAGAGTGATGACAAGGAAGGAAAGGTGGGTGGTTGTCATGAGGGACCTTTTTGATGGAACTGGTCTGTCCTTGGACTGTGGTGGTGGATTCTTGAATTTACACAGGTGATAAAATTGTAGGGAACACCCTGGCCAATGTGGCTCAGTTGGTTAGAGTGTCATCCCATACACCGAAAGGTCGCAGGTTCAATTCCCAATCAGGGCACATACCCAGTTTGTAGGTTCAATCCCTGGTCAGGGCGCAGGAGGCAACTGATCCATGTTTCTCTCTTCCTCTTCCTTCCTTTCTCTCTCTCTCAAAAATCAATAAAAGAGCATATCCTTGAATGAGAATTTTTCAAACATGTAGGGAACAAAATATACACATAGCAGTACAAGTAAAACGGGGAAATCAAATAGGATGGCTGGATTTCATCAAGGTGGATATCCTGATTGCAATATTGTATTACAGTTTTGTGAAGTGTTACTCTAGAGGCAGCTGGTGAGGGTGTGGAAGCTCTCACTGCATTAGAGTCTATAATCATCTAGAAACAAAAAGTTTTTTTAAACAGTGAGGTTAAAGAGTTGAAAGGAATATTCAGAAAGGGGAATCATTTTAAGACTGCAGGTGCAGGGCACAACCTTTGTTTATTTGTATATCTATTCAGCTGGACACTGTTTTCAGAGCCCCTTCTGTGTGCCAAGCTCTGTGGTGGGGACTGGGGCCATACCGTAGCAATGAGCAGCCCCTGCCTCCACCAGTATGGAGCCCCTGTCTAGTGGTGACAGGGCCCGTAAGTGGCAAATTACCTAGAGAGATGTGATGTGATAGTAGTGAAAAGGGTTATGAAGGAAAAATGTGTGCCCATTGTAACTGGAAACCTGACCTTGGTGGGGACAAGTCCAGGAGCTTCTTGGAGGAGGTGAGGTCAAGGGAATGTGAACTGAATTCAGAGGTGGACTGAACTTAGAGGTGGGGGAAGAGCATACCAGATCGAGGGCACACCCCATGCAAAGGCCCTGACACAGGTTATGTCTTGTGGATTTGAAAAATCCCTAGAGATGGGTGGGGCTGGAGGGGAATGAAGAGGGGAACGCCCCACTTCCCTTCACAGGGTAATGTAGTCCTCAAAAGGATAAGACTGTTCGATGGCCTTGGCTAGTTTGGCTCAGCAATTAAAGCATCAGCCCGCTGACCTATGAGTCATGGGTTCAATTCCAGGATTCCCAGTCAAGGGTATGGGTTCGATTCCCCACCCCAGTAGAGGGTTGTGTGGGAGGCAATCATTCGATGTACCGATGTTTCTCTCTCTCTCTCTCTCTCTCTCTCCCTTCCACTCTATCTAAAAAATAAATAAATAAAATAAAAATAAATGGAAAAATATCCTCAGATGAGGATTAAAAAACAAAAACAGCCCTGGCCGTTTGGCTCAGCGGTTGGAGCGTCAGCCTTTGGACCTGCCTGGCCTGTGTAGCTCAGTTGAGCCATCGTCCCATGCACCGACTTCACCAGTTCGATTCCCGGTCAGGGCACATGCCTGGGTTTTGGGCTTGATCCCCAGTGCGGGGTGTACAGGAGGCAGCCAATTGATGTTTCTTTCTCATCGATGACGTTTCTATTTCTCTCTTTCTCCTTTTCTCTCTCTATAAAATAAATAAAAACATATTTTTAAAAAAACTACTGTGTGAGGAATGAATTAATATCGACTCATTTGCTTGGCTGGTTTGGCTCAGCGGTTAGAGCGTTGGCCCTTTGACCAAAGAGTCGTGGGTTCGATTCCAGTCAAGGGCATGTACCTCAGTTCTGGTTCGGTCACCAGCCCTGGTCGGGGTCAAGCGGGAGGCAACCGACAGATGTTTCTCTCTCATATCGATGTTTCTCTGTCTCTCTCTGTCTTCCTCCCTCCCTCCCTCCTGCTCTGATTGAAGATAAATGGAAAAATATCCTCGAGTGAGAATTTTAAAAAATATATTGATCTATTCTACAGAGAGGGAAA